CAACAGGGAAGTGAACATCTTCCCACATGTGCAAACTTGATTGTTCTCACCGGCAAGTTTCAAAAAAACAGAGAGTGGACATCTCTCCAATTGGCCAAAATGGGTTGCTGTCTTTTCAAGCACATTTTAAAATACAAAATGACAATCAACCGCAAATGGGCAACGTTTCCTGTTCCTGCATTCCCAAACTTCAGAACAGAGAAGAACACTCACCAAAAATCTGCAACATCGTCATCACCGCCAAATTTCAAAAACCGAATATCAATATCCCAGGAAAAGGCAAAAGTGGATTGGTTCGCATTGCTCGGTTCAAGAACAGACAATGGAAACCTACCAGACTGGGGAATGCGTTGTTTTCCGTCACCAAATTTCAGTAGCAGAGAACGAGAATTTTGCAACATGCGCAATATTTATGAACACAAAGCTTCACCAACAGAGACTACGAATTGCCGAACATGGACAACATGGAGTGCTCCTCATTGCAACCCTTCCAAACAACAGAGAATGGGAACCCGCAAGAAATGTATGAAATGAATGGCTTATATGTATATGTGCATGTGCATATACATATGCGTCTGCATATACATATATAAACGAATGTTCAGATGCAGTCGTACATGTATGCGTATAAATGTATACATGCACGTGTGGAGTTGTAGTCGATGTTCGTGTCGCACGCTCGTGCGTATCGCACGTACAACACAGATTCCAGTGAGTGCGCTCGTGCACATAATGATTTCTTATATGTGTACACATATATACACACGGATTCGAATCAGAAGGGGGGATGAGGGAGGAGGTGAAGGACCTTTTTGTTTGATCTTCGCTTCAGGGGAATGAGTAATGCCAGGTGGGCTGAATATGCCAGCAATTGACGTGTGAAAAGTTTCCCACAGCGTTGCCGATGCGAATTCGGCCCCTAAACGCCCCCAGACAAAAAGAGAGAGAGAGAGAGATGAGACGAAAGGAACAGGAGGGAGGGAGAAAAGATGAGAAAGGGCGTGTCCTGTGGTCGCTTGGAGGGGGGGGGGGAAACAGGACACCCTCCCCCCCCCCTGGGGGGAACCCCCCCCCCTCCCGTGACGGAGGGGTGGGAGGTTCGAACCCCCCCACCCCCCCCCCCTCCCTCCTCTGCGTCCCCTCTCCTCGGGCCGGCGCTTGTGTCGGCGGCGGCTGGCGACGGCGGCGGGGACGACGATTTGGATTTCAGGGCCGGCGCCAGCGCCGGCGGCGGCGGGCAGCGGTGGCGGGGAGCGTCGACGAGGACGACGGTGGTTTGTGGTGGTGGTGGTGATGGTGGTGTGGTGGTTTGTGGTGGTGGTGGTGGGTTGTGCTGCTGGTAATGGTAATGGTTGTGGCGGTGGTGGTGGTGGTGGTGGTGGTGGTGTGGTAGGTTGTGGTGGTGGTGGTGGTAGTGGTGGTGGGTTATTGTGGTGGTGGTGGTGGTGATGGTGATGGTGAGTTGTGGTGGTGGTTGTGGTGGTGGTGGCTGTGGTGGTGGTGGTGGTTGTGTGGTGCTGTTGGTGGTGGTGGTGGTGGTGGTGGTGGTTTGTTGAGGCGGTGTTGGTGGTGGTGGTAGTGGTGGTGGTGGTAGTGGTGGTAAATGTCGCTGCGTCCCCGCCGCCGTCGCCGGCGCGAGGGGCGGGGGTGGGAGGGGGGGGTTTGAACCTCCCCACCCCCCTGGGCTGCCTATGGTCATCGTCGCTGCGTCCCCGCCGTGGGCGCTGCTGGCGGCCGCCAGCGCCGGCGCCGGCGCCGAGGACGGGGGTGTGGGGGTTTGAAACCCCCCTCCCCCCCCTTGGGAGGGGGGAGGGTGCGGGTGGGGGGGGGGTTGGGGGGGAGGGGGGCCCCCCTGGTTTTGATCGACGGCGCCGAGTGCTGGGGGGGGGCCCACCCCCCGGTTCGAAACCCGCCGCCGAATGTTCCCCAGGCAAGCGCCCGTGAAACGTGTTCTTTCAAAGATGAGCTACCCAATTAGGGTTGTGTGACTACCAGTTCTTCGATTGGTTCCCTCTGGATTCCATCCCGCCTAATTTCCCCCCGCTCCCTTGATACCCAGACCCAACTCCAGCCGTCCCCTAAATGCCAACCAGCAGGTTTGGATTTTCTTGGACGGCGTTGCCGTGTCAGGACAAGGTAGGGGAAGGAAGTTGCCTGCACAGCTTCCCATGGGCGCCAACCTCGGCTGAAGCTGTTACGGGAGGAAGGAGACAGGGAGGGGAATCTGGTGTTGACGGTCGTATTTTCCCTGACTTCGCAGGGCGCCGTTGCGTTGCGTTGCGCCCGATCGATCAAGTCGGCCCTGTGCAGAGCTCGGGTGGAAGATAAGAACAATGCACCGTCAGAGCTACACGTCGTCAAACCAGCGACGCCGCGGCTGGCCTCTTGCACGATGCGGCGGATTGTTGTTCAGCGCCGCACACGCAGTAGGGGACCATTTTTGTGCGCTAGTTTACTCAGCGACGGTGGAACATCAGACGACTCAACAAATTCTTCTTGCGCTTTGATACAACCGAAGATCAATCTGCAATGACGTGCAGGCGCCTGGCAGATTCGAGCCTCTGCTTTATTCTGCGGCCAGCATCTTCCCACGAATCGCTATCCTCGAACACCCAGCCGACGATTCGCCGGGGCATTTTCCTTTGTGTGATGTCTAGATGGT